AGATTCGGCATAACAAATAAATAAATGTGATCAAAGATTTTACAAATCTAATGCGCCATACTGTGCAATTAAAGATTACTTCTTGAAATTTTTCAATATTTGAAATTTGAAAAAAAAAAAAATATTTGAAGAATAATTCTTTTTAATTTCTGAAATCTGAAATGAGAAAAAATTGACCCCCCACAATTTCTTTTTATCCCCCCCCTCCCTTTTTTCCCCCAAAAAATTCTTTCCCTCAAGATATGGTGATAATCTCAATTCAAATTTCCAATGGAGTTGGCAACCATAATTACCCATTTAAATTTACCATAGTGCTAACTTAATCTATTTTATAATAGAATTAAAAATATAGTGTCAAATCTTTCATATGGATTTTTTTGTAAAAAAAAATGATGCAACATTTACTGGTCTTCCTTTATAAATATGCATTTCTTTAAACATAATTTAAAAGCAGTGTAAGGGAAGTAACCAAAACGTTGTATTTGGATTACCTCCCTTACACTGTTTTAAATTATCTTAATTGTTCATTAACCATTACTTTATACATAATTTAAAAGCAGTGTAAGGGAGATAATTTCAATGATGTATTTGATTTATCTCCCTTACACTGCTTTAAATTATGTTTTGTACTAAAGTATTTGTCCATTAACCAGGACAACCTTGTTTTTCCCCCTTTTTTGCCCCTTATTCCTAAACGGTTTGAGCCATAACCCCCCAAAGCAAATCCTAACCATCCCTTTGTGGTATGGAAACTTGTAGTATAATTTCAGAGAGATCCATACACCGTTCCACAGTTATTGTCTGGAAACTAGAAAATGCTTATTTTTGGCCCCTTTTTGGCCCCTAATTCCTTAACTGTTGGTACCATAACCCCCAAAATCAATCCCAACCTTCCTTTTGTGGTATTTAACCTTATGGTAAAATTTCAAAAAGATCCATTCACTTAAACTAAAGTTAGAGTGCGAAAACCAATGTGTATTCGGACGACGACGCCGGACGACGACGACGACGACGACGACGCCAACGTCATACCAATATACGACCACAAATTTTTTTTGCGGTCGTATAAAAATTAAGAATCTAAATACACGGTTAGATTTGGCATATCAAAGAACCCCAATAATTCAATTTTTGATGAAATCAAACAAAGTTTAATTTTGGACCCTTTGAACCTCAATGTGGACTAATTTAAAAACGGGGCCCAAAATCCAAAAACTAAATACACGGTTAGATTCAGCATATTAAAGAACCCCAAAAATTAAAGAATAAAACCCCATTGAAATTGGTCACGAAATAAGCAATTTATACGAAGTATCTTCTTTTGCACAATACTGTGCAATTAAATATTTCTTGCTATTGTGCAATACTGTACAATTGACAATTTCTTGCTATTGCGCAATATTGTGCTATTTGATATTTCTTGCTATTGCGCAATACTGTGCAATTGAAGATTTCTTGCTATTGCGCAATACTGTGCAATTGAAGATTTCTTGCTATTGTGCAATACTGTGCAATTGAAAATTTCTTGCTATTGCACAATACTTATTATATAATGATTTACACATCCTGTTTGGTGTGTATCTCCTACCATATCATTATTATTTGCTTTTAAATATAAATCAGAAATAACCAACTTAAAATGGAAAATTTTAAAAGAAAAAAAAAAGGAAAAAAACAAAAAAAAAGGAAACCCCCCCCCCCCAATTTTTTGAACCCCCTTATGATTCATCACCCCCAAACTTAATCCCAGCCTTCCCTTTGTGGTATGGTACCTTGCAGTACAATTTCAGAGAGATCCATACACTTGAACACAAGTTATTGTCTGGAAACTAGGAAAATGTGTTTTTTGGCCCCTTTTTGGCCCCAAATTCCTAAACGTTTAGGGCAATTACCCCCAAACTCAAACCCAGCTTTCCCTTTATGATATGGAACCTTGTAGTACAATTTCAGAAAGATCCATACACTTGAACACAAGTTATTGTCCTGAAACTAGAAAAATGCTTGTTTTTTGCCCCTTTTTGGCCCCTAATTCCTAAAATATTGAGGCAATTACCCCCATCATCAATCCCAGCATTCCCTTTGTGGTATGGTACCTTGCAGTACAATTTCAGAGAGATCCATACACTTGAACACAAGTTATTGTCTGGAAACTAGAAAAATGCTTATTTTTGGCCCCTTTTTGGCCCCCAATTCCTAAACGTTTCGGCAATTACCCCCAAACTCAATTCCAGCTTTCCCTTTGTGATATGGAACCTTGTAGTACAATTTCAGAAAGATCCATACACTTACACACAAGTTATTGTCATGAAACTAGAAAAATGCTTGTTTTTTGCCCCTTTTTTGGCCCCTAATTCCTAAAATTTTGAGGCAATTACCCCCAAAATCAATCCCAGCATTCCTTTTGTGATATGGAACCTTGTGGTACAATGTCAGAGAGATCCATACACTAACACACAAGTTATGTCTGGAAGTTACAAAAATGCTTATTTTTGGCCCCTTTTTGGCCCCTAATTCCTTTACTGTTGGTACCATAACCCCCAAAATCAATCCCAACCTTCCTTTTGTGGTATTGAACCTTGTGGTAAAATTTCATAGAGATCCATTCACTTAAACTAAAGTTAGAGTGCGAAAACCAATGTGTCTTCGGACGACGCCGGACGACGACGACGACGACGACGACGACGCCAACGTCATACCAATATACGACCACAAAAATTTTTTTGCGGTCGTATAAAAACTATCATCTATTTATCATGTTATAAATGTATAGCATATTTCTTTCTTATATTTCTTTGCCAATGACATTGAATACAAATAAAAAAGATGAGGGGTATGAATAAATCAATATACTTTAATTTTCTCTTCGTACTCAAAGGTAATCATAGTACAAAAAATTAACTTTATTTAAGGGCAGTCAACAATCAAAAACTAAGCAAGAAACAGAATCTTCTAAATATTTCTTTCAAATGATATATCATTCAAACAGAAAGGTTACTAGGGTACCTGAAACAAATTACATTCAGATGGAAGATTGAAGAAAAAAACACTTTAAAAGACAATTTTTACATCAGACTGTTACTTTTACGACAAAATTTATGTGGAAAAAACACCTCCTGATCTGAGATCTAAACTCCTGACCAAAATTTCCCAATCTCCTGATCTGAGTTTTACAGACCATCACATGTATGCGTAACTCGTTAAAAATATTTGATCAGAAATTATTTTCGAAAGTGTAAGACATTGCTGATATAAACCTATGATATAAGTTTCATAAAAATCTGGCAAGAATTGAACATATGTGAGCGTTAACAATGCAACTTTCCATGTTATCAACATTTCCAAGGGGAATAACTCTTTTAAAAACAATTGATCAGCACTAATTTTCAAAATTGTCAAAGACATTGACGATATAAAACTATAATATAAATTTTATAAAAATCTGGAAAGAAATGTACATATTAGTGTGCCAAAATGGAAATTTTCCATACAATTAATATTTCCAAGGGCATAATTCTTTTAAAAAATTTTAATTGGCACTTATTTTCGAACTCGTCAAAGACATTGCTCATATAAACCTCTCTATTTTTAATATATACCAGCTTTGAAGTTTGGTATGACTATAAATTTTCACTTCTGTTTTCGTACTATGACCAACAAAATTATTTATTTTGTAAAAAATATTTCCGTTCTCCATTACTGCATACCTTACAACAAAATTATTTTCATTTACCTGTGTACATTATTCTATTTGGCGGCATTTTGTTCAAGGTTATGGTTGTCTTTCTGAAATTGTTTAACATCTCACCCCTTATTTTATTGATTTTGTATTTACATTGTGTCAAAGATCAAATTTATTCGTTTAGTGTATGTTCACTTGTTTGTGTAAATATGTCTTTTGATTGAGTTAAGCCATTTCAATTGATATTTTATAGTGTGTCTTTCTATGTTGTGATGGTACACTATTGTTTTAGGTAAGGGTGAAGGTTGGTACCTATTAAAACGTTTAAACCCGCTGCATTTGTTTGCACCTGTCCTAAGTCAGGAACCTGATGTTCAGTGGTGTTGTTTGTTGATGTGGTTCATAGGTGTTTCTCGTTTCTCGCTTTTATATAGATTAGACAGTTGGTTTTCCCTTTTGAATGGTTTTACACTAGTAATTTTTGGGGCCCTTTATAGCTTGCTGTTCGGTGTGAGCCAAGGCTCCGTGTTGAAGACCGTACTTTGACCTATAATAGTTTACTTTTACAAATTGTGACTTGGATGGAGAGTTGTCTCATTAGCACTCATACCACATGATTTAAGTTTCATAAATTTCTGGCGAGAATTGTACACATAAGAGCACTAACAATGCAATTTTCCATATAATTAATGTTCCAAGGGGTGCACTTATTTACTTTAAAAAATAATTGATCAGCACTGATTTCTGAACTTGTCCAAGACAAATGCTAATATAAACCTATGATATAAGTCTCATAAAAATCAGGAAAGAATTGAACAAATGAGAGCGCTAACGATGCAATTTGCCATATAATTAATGTTTCCCTTTCTCTTAAAAATAATTGATCTGGACTGATTTTCAAACTTATCCAAGACATTACTGAAAACTATGATATAAGTTTCCTAAAAATCTGGTAAAAAATTGTACAAGTGAGAGTACTTACAAGACCAGACAGACAGATTTTCTATGCCCCCGGCAATGCCTTACACTGGGTGACAAAAAAAAAACAAGCTGTTTGGATCAAAAAACTTATCAGACCACTAAAACATAAAAAGAAGGACAAGCAAGCTAGGCAATATGTTATAAGAAAAAATATTCTATATCCAACATTCCATCATTTCAATTATTTGTATACCTGATATTGGATAACATGATCTTTTATCAAAATACTGAATTAAAACTCTCATATTTTATATGGTAATATTTCGATCATTTCAAAAATGTTTACATTAATTGTCTAGGTTTGACCTATTATTTATCAGTCAAAAAGAAATAACATTACCTGCAAGGAATGCATGTTTTGTTACCATCACTGCAAAAGGAAATGTTGTACACACTTCCTGAAAATCCAATATGATCTCCAACTATTGTTATCTTTTTACCACCAGCTTGTATACTTTTTTGGGGGTAAAACCTTATCAGCTTCAGTTCTTTCTGTGAAGAAAAAATAGTTGACTTCATAAAATGTGTTTTTGATATGTATCATATTTTCCCTTTGTTCCAATTTTGGTACTTTCAACATGTATTACATTCAGTTTGAATCTTGATTTTGCAGGTATTCTTATATAACGCTCATCTTTCCCTTTGAAAACAAAGTCATGTTCTAATTCCAGTAAAACAAAGGGTACACATGCTATAATAATGTCACAATTGAATGTGAATGAATTTGCATTGCATTTTTATTTTAAAGGCATTGAACATGTTGAAGATTGAAATAAACATTAATGTATTCTATTCTATTTCTGCCAAAATCTCTGTCTCTTTGACACATTCCCCATTTCCATTATCAATTTTATTATCTTGTTCAATAAAATCTTAATAAGCAAGTAAATTTGTATTAAAACACTTTTTTTAATCATAAAACAATTGTTTTCCATAATTTTGTTACAGCATCAAATCAAAATGGTTGCCTTTTGAATGTGTCCTTAAGTCCGTAAGTTCTGAATTTTTCCATTCAAATCAAAATAATTCTCTCTTGTCATGCTTTATGCTAATTTTAACATGTTTAGGCATTATATATATTTGTAAATATTTTACACCTCACTATTGCTCAGTATAAAGTTAGTTTTTTTTTACAAAAATAGTGCCTACCAATGATAAATTTAGCATAGAGCATAACATGAAAGAATTATTTCTTTACTATATCTTAATCCTTTCAAAAATATGTAATCATGTTAAGCTATAAAAGCAATTTGCATTCAAAAATTGGGTACACTGCTATCTTTCATCAATTCAAAAAGTTACAGTATATACAATACTGTGATTGAATGCATAATAAAATGCTATCTATTTTGTTTACTTTGACACCCTGGTACATGTACTTTAAACTTAACTTATACCAAGATGTCGTTAAAGGAATTTGAATACCCTACATTTATCATACTTTTCAACAACATATGATTAAATGGCTGAAAGACTTCCAAGACATCATCATCATATCCTAAATTATTGAAATCATCATTTTGCATTAACAATATCTTGTAAATTAAATATGCCCACTCGGGCTAATGCCCTCAAGGTGTACTTTATACATGTATGTTGCCTATACCTTTGTTAAGCTGCATTATCACAATGTCCATTACTGTGGTTTAGATTATTAATTCACAAATAAACAAATGTGCATTATATACTCCCTTTCTCATTTTTGTACATCGAAATTGTTGCCATTATAACATGGAATATTGTAGAATGCATTTAATCAGAAGTAAGTAAATCATAGATGGTATCAGGAAGGTATCCTAGGTACAATCAAAACTGCATTAGATTTATAGGTTCTAAACTCATAACTCTGGAATAGCAACTCAAACAATTGTCAAAATCAAAAGGGAGCTTAATCTTATACCTGACAAAAATTACTTTGCCAATCTGAATGAAAATATAGTTTGCAAATGTAAATTGATTTCACAATACTCATGTAAAGAGTGTAACATATGAAAAACTGCCTTAAATGTGACTAAAACAATCTCATAACTCTTGGAAAGGCATACCTGAATTTAAAATAACTAGAGGCTCTCAAGAGCCGGTGTCGCTCACCTGTATCTACTGTGTTTTTGGAAATCATGTAAATTAAAGGGAAAATTGGTGATTTTTTATTTATAGTTTAAATATGTTCATTATAACATAAAATACATATCCACAAAGTTGTATCGCTATATGTGTATTAATAAAGAAGAAACTCAATAACTATTAATTTTTTATTGACTACTTCCTGTAGTACGTGATGTTAACTCCTGGTATTGCATGCTGGGATTTAAAGTACAATCAATTAAAGTCTTGGTCTTTAATCATATTTTAATGTAATCATAGGCGTGCCGATGACTAATTTTGATAGCTAATTACCATCCGATAGTAAGAAAATAAAACGAACAGACATACAACTTTTTACATTCATGAGATAAAATTATCTATATTTACCGTATATATTTCAATTTATTTTTGTTGACAGCACAAAAAGTAAATCTTTTAATTTTTTTTTAATATTTACTTTTTCCGACGGATATGGTGAACAAATTAAAGTATATGACTTAAACTGTAAGGACAATATATAGGTGTACGCTTATTGACCTTACGCTAGGACTAGGTATATACGATGTGTGTATTAATCTCTGGTAATACTCGTGGAAGGCTTGTAAAAAGGTATAAAGTAATTTACAGATTGGTAATTAGCCGGGCCTCTAGGGCACACCCTGCCAGGTGTGACTGTCAATTTGAATGGATTATAAGACAGAAGGTCGAGTTTAATACACAAAGTTAACATACATATTCAAGGTGCTGGCAAATACAAATAGATCGCCGTGGAATATTTGATTATATTTCAGGGTAGGTCCGTTGAAACTTAATCCGGATATTTAACATCAAAATCTGCAAAATTTCCTTAAAACTAGCATTCTGAGAGTATTGCATGGCAATACATAGTCCCCTACTGGTTAAGAATTCATTGTACTGGAACAAAATGCTAACTTGATCTATAACTTGTCATGGTGTAAACTATATAACAAATATCAAGTCAATATCTTCAAGCATGATGAAAAAAAGTGTGGAAAACTGATTATTAGACTTCTATAGTAAACCCCTATGTTCTATTTTTAGCCATGGCGGCCATGTTGGTTGGATGACAGGGTCATCGGATACATTTTTCAATCAAGATACCCTATTGAAAATTGTGGCTAAGTTTAAATCTATTTATTCCAGTAGATTAAGTATTGAGAAGATTTTTGTAAAAGATTACAAAAGTTTATGAAAAATTGACTATAAAGTGCAATAACTCCTTAAGGGGTCAATTGACAATTTTTGTTATATTGACTTATTTGTAGATCGTACTTTGCTGAAAATTATTGCTGTTTACAGTTTATCTCAATCTATAATAATATTTGAGATAATAAACAAAAACTGCAAAATTTCCATAAATTTACCAATTCAGGGGCTGCAACCCAACAACAAGTTGTCTGATTCGTCTCAAAATTTCAGGGCAGATAGATCTAAACCTGATGAACATTTAAACCCATGTCAGATTTGCTCTAAATGCTTTTAAGTTTCAGAGATATAAGCCAAAAACTGCATTTTACCCCTGTGTTCTATTTTTACCAATGTAGGCCGTATTGGTTGGCTGGCGGGGTCATTGGACACATTTTTCAAACAAGATACCCAATGATGATTATGGCCATGTTTAGTTAAATTTGTCTAAGTTGTTTCAGAGGAGAACATTTTTGTAAAAGATAACAAAAATTTACAAAAAATTGTTAAAAATTGACTATAAAGGGCAATAACTCTTTAAGGGGTCAATTGACAATTTAGGTCATGTTGACCTATTTGTAGATCTAACTATGCTGAACATTATTGATGTTTACAGTTTATTTCTATCTATAATAATATTCAAGATAATAACCAAAAACTGCAAAATTTCCTTAAAATTACAAATTCAGGAGCAGCAACCCAACAACAGGTTGACTGATTCATCTAAAACTTTCAGGGCGGATAGATCTCAACCTGATAAACATTTTGACCCATTTCAGATTTGCTCTAAATGCTTTAGTTTCAGAGATATAAGCCAAAAACTGCATTTTACCCCCATGTTCTATTTTTAGCCATTTCGGCAATGTTGGTTGGCAGGCGGGGTCATCTGACACATTTTTTAAACTAGATACCCTAATGATGATTGTGGCCAAGTTTGGTTAAATTTGGCCCAGTAGTTTCAAAGGAGAAGATTTTTGTAAAAGTTAACGGACGACAGACGACGGACGCCAAGTGATGAGAAAGTTCACTTGGCCCATTGGGCCAGGTGAGCTTAAAACTGCAAAATTTCCTCAAAATTACCAATTCAGGGGCAGCAACCCAACAACAGGTTGTCTGAATTGTCTGAAAATTTCAGGGCGGACAGATCTCAACCTGATAAACATTTCTAACCAATGTCAGATTTGCACAGATTTGCTCTAAATGCTTTAGTTTCAGAGATATAAGCCAAAAACTGCATTTTAACCCTATGTTCTATTTTTAGCCATTTCGGCCATGTTGGTTGGCAGGCGGGGTCATCTGACACATTTTTTAAATTAGATACCCTAATGATGATTGTGGCCAAGTTTGGTTAAATTTGTCTAAGTTGTTTCAGAGGAGAACATTTTTGTAAAAGATAACAAAAATTTACGAAAAATTGACTATAAAGGGCAATAACTCTTTAAGGGGTCACTTGACAATTTAGGTCATGTTGACCTATTTGTAGATCTAACTATGCTGAACATTATTGATATTTACAGTTTATTTCTATCTATAATAATATTCAAGATAATAACCAAAAACTGCAAAATTTCCTTAAAATTACAAATTCAGGGGCAGCAACCCAACAACAGGTTGACTGATTCATCTAAAAATTTCAGGGCGGATAGATCTCAACCTGATAAACATTTAGACCCATTTCAGATTTGCTCTAAATGCTTTAGTTTCAGAGATATAAGCCAAAAACTGCATTTTACCCCTATGTTCTATTTTTAGCCATTTCGGCCATGTTGGTTGGCAGGCGGGGTCATCTGACACATTTTTTAAACTAGATACCCTAATGATGATTGTGGCCAAGTTTGGTTAAATTTGGCCCAGTAGTTTCAGAGGAGAAGATTTTTGTAAAAGTTAACGGACGACAGACGACGGACGCCAAGTGATGAGAAAGTTCACTTGGCCCATTGGGCCAGGTGAGCTTAAAACTGCAAAATTTCCTCAAAATTACCAATTCAGGGGCAGCAACCCAACAACAGGTTATCTGAATTGTCTGGAAATTTCAGGGCGGACAGATCTCAACCTGATAAACATTTTTAACCAATGTCAGATTTGCACAGATTTGCTCTAAATGCTTTAGTTTCAGAGATATAAGCCAAAAACTGCATTTTAACCCTATGTTCTATTTTTAGCCATTTCGGCCATGTTGGTTGGCAGGCGGGGTCATCTGACACATTTTTTAAACTAGATACCCTAATGATGATTGTGGCCAAGTTTGGTTAAATTTAGCCCAGTAGTTTCAGAGGAGAAAATTTTTGTAAAAGTTAACGGAGGACGACGGAGAACGCCGGACGCCAAGTGATGAGAAAAGCTCACTTGGCCTTTTAGGCCAGGTGAGCTAAAATTTAAATGTAGCCAATTTTACAAATTCTAACAATTGTAAAAAGTTTTTTTACCTTATAGGTAAACAAATTTCCTGTTCTCATAACTGTTAAACTATTTATTGTTATGTTAATACCCATAACAACACTTCTTGATTCAAAAGCACCACCAGTCTTGCAATTTACTCTAAAAATTAAAAAAAACAATAATACGAAAACAAATTAATATAATAATACAAACAAAGCTTATAAAACCCATTTAACCCTTTTAATATAGATAAAATGCTCTGCTAGTCACTGCTGGATGTGGATTGTGATTCAATATTTGACACATCATAGATTTCTGTTACAGAACAAATGTGGTAATAGAACTGAAAATTTTGAAATTGGATTTTACCTAATAATGTCCAATGTCCAAAATCTAAATACCTGGTTAGATTTAGCATATCTAAGTACACCAAGATTTTAATTCATTTATTTATCAATGTACCATAATATCTCAGTACACCAAGAATTTATTTATTTGTTAATGGACAATATAAGCTAAGTTTTTAAAGAAGTTAACCACATGAAAAAATAAATGGGGAATGTGTCCATGGGACACAGATGATGCCCCCACTTGCATATCATTTAAAGTTATAAAGGGACATAACTGAAGAACAGTAAAAGTGACACTACCCAAATTTGTACTTGATCTGAGTTTTGTGGTAATAAGTATTGTGTATAAGTTTCATAACATTTGGTTGAGGCAAACTTATGTTAGAGAACGGAAACAAAAAAATCAGCAATTTTTCCATTTGTAAAGGGGCATAACTCTAGAACAATAAAAGTAACACCACCAAAGTTCAAACTTGATTTGTATTTTGTGGTAATAAGCATTGTGTATAAGTTTCATATCATTTGTTTGAGGCTAACTTAAGCTAGAGAACGGAAACGAAAAATTCAGCAATTTTTCCATTTGTAAACAGGCATTACTCTAGAACGGTTAAAGTAACACCACCAAAATTCCAACTTGATCTGTGTTTTGCAGTAATAAGCATTGTGTATAAGTTTCATAACATTTGGTTGAGGCAGACTAAAGTTAGAGAACGGAAACCAACTTTGAGACTACGGACTTCGGTACTGATGGACATACGAATGGACAAGGGTAAAACAGAATGCCCCCTCTGCTATGGCTAAAAATCTATAAAACATACCACTTTTCAAAATATCTAATAATGAACAGTAAATTACAAACTATATTTATACATAATTTCTAAAATTAGAATATGATGCTATATCTATTTTTAACTTTATGACTCAACTTAAAATTTTTTACAATTGTACAATACAGCTCTAAATTTAGATTCTGATTAAATACTTAGCTTGATATAGCATAGTTTTTGCCACAGAATGAATGAGGTATAAGTATTTAATTAATTCAAAATTGAACATTTACCAATTATGGTCCAATATCCAAATTATAAATACATGGTTGGAATCAGCATATCAAAGAACCCCAAGAATTAAATTTTTGAAGAAATCCAACAAACTTTAATTTTGGACTCTTTGGACCTCAATGTGGACTAATTTGATAACAGGACAAAACATTCAAAATCTAAATACATGCTTAAATTCAGCATATCAAAAGAACCCATATCTAAAACCAGACGAATAATTGTTTTGGCCCCTTTCTGGCCCCTAATTACACAACAGCTACGATAATAACCCCCAAAATCAAACCCAACCCTCCTATTGTAGTACGGAACCTTGTGCTAAAACTTCATACAGATCCATACAATTATACTAAATTTTTTGTCTGTGAACCAATCTATTATCTATGAACCAGTAAAACTGACCTGTTTTGGCCCCTAATTACAAAACCGATAGAACAATACCCCCCAAAAACAATCCCAACCATCCTTTCTTTAGTGGTTTGGTGAAGAAAATGTTAAAATGATTTTGATAAAAAAAAATTTTTTTTAAAAAAACAAATAAATGGTGTAAAGAGCATGTATGGACTGACAGACTTTACCATCCTTATAATAGTACACTATGAGGCAAAAACAAAAGACTGTTCTAAATAAGGGCAAGCCATTTTGACCTCTCAGATGTACTTTCTTCCAATAAATTTATAGTTCTTTCAGTTTATGTCATTATGAAGAACTGCAATAAAAGCACTTTTCCATTTGTATTTGTTTATATCCTGTGAAATATCCCTATGGTTGGATGTACAATAGAGATCAGAGTTTCAAAACACTTAAACTTTTCTTCCTTCAAGCATGGATGTCCTTTGCCAGATTAGCACACTTTTCTATAATTTTCAAGTTAAAATACTCTCCAAATTTGTTTTTGATTTGGCCTTTATTTTATTTTGATATGATTGCCAATGATAAGTCTAAGGAACACAGTATAAGCATGTCTGGTGTATTAATAAATAAGTCTGGAATTCTTATTAGCTTTTTTGAAAAGTAAATGTATACATCTTTAGTAGAATTAAAACAACAGGAAATTTTAGTGGTATGCAGCACACAATTAATTTGAACTTAAAGTATAAAACTCACACAGATGCTTCTTTAACCTTTGCCTCAGTACATTCTATACCGTTTACTTTTACTGTTGTGTTGTCTCCTGGATTACCGATTCCAATGTTACTTATAGTTATGTTAGTACCTCCTTTTTCTGGACCAGAATCTGGATAAACCTGTAAATTATTATGAAGTCTATGATAAATATCTGTTCTATTATAAAACTTTAATTTCTGAAAGAAAAAAATGATTGCCAACCAGATGAAACTTTTCCATAGAGTCATCTCTTATTGGTCAATCTATTTAAACTTTAGTCAGTTCTATTGTTCCATTGAATAAATACAATAGCTATTGTTCTCTGTGTAGTTTATTCACTGGGACCTTTAAATTTTTCTTCTAAGAGAAATCCATCACTCATTGATTAATTTACCTGAGTAAAAACAAGTTGCTTTCTTTAATAAAAAGAAAAGCCGAGACTGCATACTGGTCTGAGAAAATTTGTTTCTGAATTTTTTCACTTTTGATTTGAAATCATTTACTGTGAATAGTATAAGGTATTGTAATAATGATGTTAAAACACCTTTATTGAAAATATGTAATTGTGTGTAGATTCTTGCACAAGTCAATTGAAAGCAATTACGATACCTTATTCTATTCACAGTAAATGATTTCAAATCAAAAGCAAAAATAATCAGAAACACAGTTTTTGGTGACCAGTCAGCGGTCTCGGGTTCCCATATTGCTTTTCTTTTTTTAAAGAGAGCAATAAAGTTTAAATAGATTGACCAATAGGAGATGACTCTGTGGAAAAGTTTAATTTGGTTTGCAATAATTTATCACTTAACCGGAATGATTGAATTTGAAGACTATTTTTTTAATGAATTCTACCCCTATTTTCTATTTTGAGAAATGGTAGCAACCATGTATCAAGTGTTAGGTGGATGCATGTAGTCCTTAAACATTTACCATTAAGGAGGATCATAAATGTGCTAATTAACTAGAGTTTTTTTTAAATACAATTGGTCTTTTCCAATGATTTTTGAGACTTTTTAAATGAACTTTTGTCCAATCAAAAGCTTAGGCAATGGAGGTGGACAAGTTTTAAAGCAGATTGGGTCATCAAAAATAATTCTGAAAGAGAATCATGAATTCAGCATTTCACCAAAGCTGGGTAGCAATTGGTCATTCACAAGATTCTTTAGAATATTTTTTTACTGATTTTTTTTATCAAATCTTTATTTCTAATAAAGATGACAGCCATGTCATAGGACAGATGGGTAATTTTCAATAATTCTTTCACAGAATCATAAAAGTATAAATTTCCTTGCAATAGGTTATTAATATGATTTTTAAGACATTCAAATTGATTTTTTTTTGTAATGATGGCAGCCATGCTTTTTAGCAAATTAGATCATCAGCTATAATTCTAAAAGTATCAATAATTTATCTTAAGCAAAGTTACCCCGGTAAGTAGCCACCAAACTGGCCAAGTTGGCTAAAAAGGAGAAGTAGGGTAAATATCAAGGAGACAACAACCCAATGTTGTCATTAATTTAAACAGACTCTTGATGTCCAGCTGCCATCAACAACAAATTCTCCAAATAACAAAAAAACATTATGAATATGACAAAGGACAATCTCACTAGGCGGTTTGTTCCTAACATTACAACATTTAAAAATCTTCAGTACGCAGTTGTAAGGAATCCATGCAGGAGGGTGAAAGACATTTTAGCAGAAAAAATCAGATACTGTAGCACTAAAAGATAACCCATTTTAGCTCCAGATTTTTAACCCATTTTAACAAAAAAGGAAATTAGCAATGTCCATTTGAGCGTTAGAAATTGATTCATTAGTATTTTTTTTTTAAACCTGTTGTGTTTATTTCCTCTTGAAACAAAAGGTTCTTATCAATGAGTGAATTCACTTAACATGCTAAATTATAAGAATCGAAAAAAATTGGTAAAGTCATTTATGTCCCAAAAGAAATTATATATCATTTTCACCTACTTACATGTTCTTATATCTTTTATTCTAACATGACGTTCTTCAAACGCTTTGAGTACACACCCGTGGTAAAATATGAATATATTGTTTGGGCTGTTCCGATCGTACTCCTGCGTCATATGCTTTTTTATGAATGAGCTACCCGACGTCATAGAATGAGGACGTAAGAATATAAGCATTTTACAGGAAAATACACGCTTGTGAAACCGAAAATCATCACAAGGAAACGTAAACAAACGATGCTAAAATGTGTTATATAAGCCATTTTTTGTTTCCATATAAGATATATAAATACAATTATCATTTAGATTCATTCAAACCTATCTAAATATGTCATTGTAAATAGTTTAAGCATGCCATTTATTCAGTTTGCTCCGTTCTTTTACATCAATTTAATAGTGCGTTTATTTATGGGAACGGCAAATAATGCCTTTACCTAGAGTGCTTCGATCCAAAAGAATTGCCGTATTTGTCCTATTAGAATCGAAATAATTCATGGGGGCTTGAATATATCGTGATTTTACCACGGGTTGTCCCTTTATGCCAATATTTTACCCCTCGCTATCGCTCAGGGTAAAATATTTGTCATAAAGGGCCAACCCGTGGTAAAATCACGATATATTCAAGCCCCCATGAATTATTTCTTAAATGAATGAAAACTAAATTGCTGGAACAGCAAATTACCTAATAAATAACAAGGGACACAGGACTTTTGTGCTTTTTTACCTATGACACTAAAGAACATTGCGCTCTAAACAGGATGGACATTTGATCTATAAAATTTGAAAACCAGTGTATTAATTGACAGCAAGATATTTGCACATTAAACTTTGAGAAAATGTATCAAATAGACAGCAAGACATTTGCACTTTAAACTTTGAGAACCTGTATTAAATTGACAGCAAGACATTTGCACTTTTTACTATAAAATCTCTATCATTTATGTATCATTACGTAAATTAAAATCAACTTACATTTGTACTATTCGAAATGTAATGTTCCTCTTGCGTGTTCATGCTATTGCCAAGAAATCTTTCATCATTGCTTACCTAAGTTTATTTTAATTTTTGCCCATCAAAAATTGATGTTTAAACCAAAGGCTGTTTCTACATGTTTGTAAATCCCTTGCTTTCAAATGTCTGGGTTTGGGCATTCCTGAAAACACGTGCTTTTAAACCAAAAGTAAAAGTCTCTTCTCGGTATGTTTTTGCCATAATAAAGAGTTAAGGGCAAATTTAAATCCTCTGATGTTCAACACTTTAAACAATGCACATGGAGAGGGCTTACATAGGCTTTGCCTGTTGCCCAATCCAATTCAATTTATTTGAATAAAATACTGTTAAAACTAAACACAATGCACTTTTAGTAAACAGAACTATCAGTGTACTAGGAACTAATGTCAGTTCACAGAATTCATATCAAAATTATGAAGTTATTGTTTTCATGTCAGTCATTGTCTGGATGTCCTTGATTCCCCAATGATTACCTTTATTGCCTAAATTTACAAAGTCTAAAAAGATTAAAATTGGGATTGATAAAAATGTACTGCAGGCACAATTTTTTTTAAAGAACTACCTACAGTGACCTGTTATTGTTAATACCTTAGTATTTTTCCTAAAATGATCTTTGTTAAAGGGGCACTAGCTATGAGAAATGAAAAAAAATAGAATATGATTTTTGTTTGTTTCAATCATCAATAACAGTGAAGTAATGAAATAATAATTCGCTTTTAGCAGCCAATTTGGTTCAGTTTTGTCAAAATAAGCAAAGAAACACCGGTGATGGATTATTCACTTGCAAGTGAATAATTCAACCTCATTGAATCCATATTCATGTGACCTACAATTTAACCCATTACCTAGAGATGGGATGGGCATGCATTAGTCATGTTCAGCCATTAAAAGGAAAAGAATGTCAACATTAACGTGAAACAAAGGTGAACCATTTCGTTGACTGATTCGATCAACAAAAAAACATTCTTATACAGGTAAAAACGATAATCAACTTATTTGTTAACCTATAACATGAAATCAAACAGACCTAGAAAAATCCAATTGCACGAGGTCACTATCTATTTTAACTATGTTTATGTTTATATCGAGTTATGTGACCGTCAGTAGTCTCCGGAGGTCATCTCGATAGTTAATTAGATGGCATCTAGACTAAAATACACACGAAATTCTGATATATTTTATAGAGTACATGCATTCCATTCTCAATTTTATTGTTAACTGTTTATTTCAGACTTATTGTAATTTGGTTTTAATATGTTATAAATCAAATATGAGAATTTGAGTCAAATCTGTGAACATGAATTTGACAGCCAATGCCCCTTAAAAGTAGTTGGCATTCAAACTACATTTCTTTATGTTTATATTTATCATTGAAATAAACAAGAATGTGTTCATAGTACACAGATGCCACACTCGCACTATCATTTTCTATGTTCAGTGGACCATGAAATTGGGATCAAAACTCTAATTTGGCATTAAAATTAGAAAGATCATATCATAGGGAACATGTGTACTAAGTTTCAAGTTGATTGGACTTCAACTTCATCAAAAACTAACTTATCATAACCACATAACAGCTTAAGGTTGCAATTCTGTAAACATAGACAATGCAATTTCGCATAGGAACTCCCTTTGTGGCTAAAACTGTGCCACTTTTACTATGAAGTTTCATGAAAAATTATATCCCTGAACGGAAAGTTGATATGCACTATTATTTTATTCAAAGGTCAAAATATAGGGCTGTGCGGCATATTTTCAACATTTATATGCCCTGAACTTCTAAGAGTTTAAACTTATACTAAAATTCTATACTACCGCTACCTCCACTTTTGGACCTCCTAAGAATTAAATTTTAGGCGCTACCATGTTTTTCTATACTGGTAACATTCCCAAGTTATGTCTCTATGAGATGAAACACAGAGATCATATCTGGGAACCAGTACATTAACAAATTAACATATCTATGAATATCATATATCTCCCCAAAAGAGGCGTGACTTGTGAAACAGCTGTATTTACAAAGTGCAACCTATAGGCCTCTTCTGAACATTTGAAGGTCCTACTATGTGTTGGTTACCTAAACTACACAATAACCAATAAAATATCGTTTCATCTTGGCCTCTTGTAAGTGTTCTATAACTAATCTCTCAGTGCTTTTA